CGGGGCGGGCGCGGGGGCGCGGCGCGGGCGGGGATGCGCCGCGGGAACCGCCGCGGCCACCTCTGCCCCCGCTCGCCCCCAGGTGAGCGAGCGGTGCGGGGGGCGGTGCGGGGGGCAGCGGGGCTCTGGCGGCCGCGGTGCGCGGGAGAGGCCTGCGGCGTTCGCCGGGCAGCGAAACGGGTGGGTGAGCAAGGTGCAGCCGCTCCTCCTCCTCGGGCCCCTCGACCTTCACAGCCGGCTGGCTCGGGGGCGGGCGCTGCGCCGGTCCCTGCTGCCTGCGCTCTTTTTGTCCCTTCCGCCCCCTCGAAGGAAAGAGGCAGATGGGCGTAATTGTGTACCGAAGGTCAAGTATCGCTTCAAGATTGTGCCTCTGAATTATTTGCAGGTAAACTGCTGATGTTGTCGCTTAGAAGGACCCCCGTGTGCAAAAGTAGTTTTCCTAGCCATCGCGGGGGGACCTGCAAAGGCTGCCTCGGTTTCTTCGGCGTTGGGGATTAGGGATAGCTTTTGGCAGTGTTCCACTGTTAAAATGACTAAAATATTCCATTATAGCTGTTAGCAAGTTTGAGATCTTAGTGTCTGCTTTGGTTTGCAGCTGACGATTTTGAACCTTCATCTTTAGATGAGCTTATTTTCAGGTAAAATTGGGGAATAGTAGGAAATGTCCAAAAGATGCAATATTTGTTAAAGTGGGAACCCAGGCTTCATGTTCTCCCTCTCTTTGGGAGAAAGTCTCTGTGTGGACACTTTTTTCTGCCTTGCAATCTGTAACCTTATTTGAACCTTTCAGTCCTCTGAGATTAAATCGTGGGTGTAATGGTTTTTGCAATCAGGAAAGCAACAGCAAAAAGCCAAAAAAACCCCTCAAGCTAAAACAAAACCAAACAACAGTTAGGATGACCAGTTTGCCATATGTGTGTGTTTTACTGCTGTGTGTTAAACAGTTGAATGTACTGTAAGCATTGCTCTGGCTTCTGCCCGTGCTGGAACTGATCCGTGTTTAAACATTAGGGCTCTTTCGGAGTTACCATAAGAAGCTTGGAGGAGAAAGTATTGTCTCCAAGCCTAGGGACCATATTCACAAAGCTATACCTTCTCTGAGTCACTGTAACCTGTTTTAACTGAGCCAGAGCAACCTATGATGACAATAAGAAAATTATATTAAGCCATGATTATAGGTTACTTCTCTGTTTTTTCAATGAGCATCATTATAAGGGAGGAAAACCAGAATGGTAAAAATGCTAATGGAAGGCAAGAGTTTTCAGCTTTTAATGTGAGTTAGTGAGTGAAGGACCAGATGGCTGTATGAATAGATAAAATGGATAGAACTTAAATTTCCCTTGAAGTAAAACAAAAGTTTCTGTCAGTTTCTTGAATGAACTCCCACTTGCCAGCAGCTTTAGCTGCGTGATGGAGGACAGTAGTAGAAACAAGTAGGGTCTCTCTGGATCTAGTGCAAAACCAAAAAAACCTTAACCAGACAAAAATCTTCCATTCAGCACATCTCTTGTTCAGTTATGAATGAAAAGTTCATAACAGAACTTGGTACCTGTTCTAGAGCACTGGGTAGCACACCAGTATGCTGAAGAAGCATTAATGTAATTAGGCACATATGTTTATATATGTGCTGTTCCATGTTTGATATGTGAAATATCAAGTGGTTGCTGCAGCCTCTGAGCATCTGACTAGTTTAATCCAGAGCCCTGACTAATGAAGCAGTACCAGCATGTCATCTGCAAGTTCTACCATGTATATTTATGGACTTTAACTTGGCACTCAGTCGGTTTGTGGAACACAGGTGGGAGTAAGTGAATTTACGTGTACCAGAGAGCAAGATCAGATTGGAAAGATTTGCCTGGAAGTCTTGGGAACTCCTGTTGTTCCTCTCACGCCTGAGCTCCTTGATGCTTCACACATTCTGTCTCCTGTAACAGATTACCAGCTGCTTTTGTAGAAGTAATTTGATCCTAATCTTTCCATGTGCTCTGAGGATTTTATTTATGCTCTAGCCAATCTACTTTGGGATAGAATAATGAGATTAGTATCGCAGAAATTAGTTCAGGTTAAGTATTTTTACTTTAAATGTGTGCTTGATCAATACTGTTGTTTCTTACTGTTGTCATTATAATGCAGAAAAGAAAAAAATGCTACAAGTTCCCACTGTATCTGTTGTGATAGACTGCAAGCTACTTTTTTTTTTTCAAATATCTCCGTAGAAGAAATTCTCAGAATGAGTGCTGTTGAGGCAGCATCTGCTGAAAGCTGCTTTCTAAAAGCTGTACATGTTTTTCTTTGTAACAATGTCCTACGTTGCTTAAAATTTTCCTTGAGAGAGGGGAGATAATTAAGGGGGAGGGCAGTGTATGAGTTATATTTGTTTGAAATCTATTTATTTCTGCATTCCTTAAAATTTTCTTGATTTCCAGAATAGGGGTGGTTTAGTACTCCTTCTACTAGCATTTCTGGAACATGATTTGTTTTGACTTGTCTGGATGTAGTGCTTTTTGAGTGATATTCAAGTCAAAGTTGGTGGAGTGTTTCTTGTTAGTTTGCAGAAAACTATGTGTTCTTTGTTTAAAATTTTGAAAGGGTATCTTTCCCTGCGCCTCAGTAAAAATGAGTGCCTCCTCTAATAAGCCTCCAATATTAGGCTGAGCACCTAATCGGTATATTTTTGAATAACCCCATTTTAACTCTTACAAAACTCCTGTTTGGTTTCACAGAGTGCTTATTTCACAATACTTCCATATTAAAGCAAGAACAGACAGACTGGTATAACTGGTCTGTAAGCTATCGGAAGTCCTGATAACTACAATATGGAATTAGCAGCTGTGTTTTAGCCCATTGGTCAGAGAAATCTTGTTGATAGGTAGGCTGTTTTAATTAGATGTGTTTTCTTTTCTCCAGATGTACCTGGCAGTTCTGTCTCTGTAGGAAGCTTAGTGTTGCCACCAAGATCAAGGTTAAAGAGTAAATACATTTGAATTGCATGTAAAGTGACCAAAGGCATACTGGCATCTTCCCATGTGATGGTCATGTTGTTCCTGTTTCTGCTGGGAATGAGATTGTCACTTGTGTGCTGCATAAGGGCTTTGAAAAGGAACAGATTCCAGTAGTGTCTACACACCAAGTGGCTTTCAGAATTGCTATAAAAACATAGTAAGTAGAACTGCTTTCTAGTCACTAAGTGACAGCGATTGCATGTTAGTTGTAGGCAGCTCAGTTAATGTATGAAGCTACGTAATGGTGGAACTGTAAAACTGGTCTGTGATCTGCAGTGCCTGTGCTGTCAAGGTTTGTTTCTCTGGTCACATTTGTATCATTAAAACTACTTGAGCAATGCCCTTGCCACCTTGGAATGCTACACCTGTATGGAGGGCTCAATTTTGTGGATTCAGTTGTGGGATCAGTGCTACTTGGAGAGATAAAAATCTTGAGAATGAACTTCCTGTTAACATAGGCTTTCTAAGATACCAGTTGGTGTCTGATTCAAAGCCTTCCTGCTTACTCTGTGGTTTGACTGAGATAGCTGCAAGTTTACAAGCACTTATTTTACTTTGTAGTGAATAATGTGATGTCTCCTAAATAAATTTCAGGAGTTCACTGCTACTATTCTTTGTCTAAAACTGCCCTTTATCTGAACTTTGATTCATCAATATTTCTGTTTTTATTGGAGTCTATTGATTATGGTGCAAAAAGTCATGCTATATAGTCATCCTGCTTATGGTTGACCAGCTAAGAGGCTTATTGATAGTACAAACAGATTAGCTCTGAGATAATGCTTAGATGCAATTATGTTGGCAGATTTGCTTTAATAAATTGGTGAGTGGCTGTACTGCAGTTGATTCTTTGCCTTATCTTACAGTTCCTCTGGATGGGATTGTTTAACCTTGCAGTCCATTAGATGCTGAAAACCCAAATGACACTGCTGCTCCCCAGCTGTTGTATTTCCTTGGGTGCATTTTTGTTA